CCTCCCCCTGGCCGCCTCCCTGGAATTGCACCTTGGGCAGCGGAGCAGAATCCGGAATGTGAACTTCTCTCGACATATGTTTCCCGCAGATAAGTAAACAATCTGGATGTGAAATGGAAATGGTAATTAATGCAGTAATGCTGTTACACCTCGAGTGTGCAAATCCCATTGACTCGCCGCGCCACGGGGGGTGCCGGGCGACGTGGACCCGCGGCGTGCGCCCCTGCCGCCCGCTCCCTCCCTCCTTTTTCTTTCCTCCCTCGGTCCTCGGGCGGGGCGTCCTGTGGGTCCGCCTGGGGCTCGGCCAGGCTCCCAGAAACCCAGAGCTGCTTAGCTCCGTTCTGAACACCTGGCTCTCGATCTTCCGCCGGATAGGCAGGTGCGCGGCGCTCCTGTCCGCAGCCACACCTTCCTCACCTTCCTCAAATTCTCCCCGCAGCCCCGGGGCCTTGGGCCTCGGGGCTCAAATGTGAGGCCCTGAGTTGAAGCAGCCAGGACACCAGGAGCTCTCCAATGGAAGCGCAGGGGACTCCCTCACCTTGGTACGGCCAACGGGTGTGGCTTTCTAGTCAAGCACATCCTGACTGGCTGGCAGTTTTTCTAAACTCCCTTCCTATCCTTGCCCCAACGCAGTGACCGCGTATGAAATGCTTTTCTTCCGGACCCTAGAGTAGCACAACTCCTCCACTTTGTAGCGAAGGGAAAACTTGCAGACTCCTTTTAGCCTGTTTGGCCTGGGCACTTGTACTTTCCCTAACTGGACTAGGGAGGATGCCCAGTGTAAGAATCTGAGCAGAGGATGGAGAACCTGGGAAGGCAGCCCAGGGATGCTTTGGACCTGCGGTCTTTCCAGTGCACAAGTCGGTCTCCCCAGCCCCAGAACTGATGTCCACTCTGCGGCAGTAAGAACCAGGAGCTGGACTAGGGTGGAGGTAGAGGTCCCCTCTTTCCAGCCTCCAGGCCCCTTTCGCAGGGCCAGAGCAGGCACCCCAGGCCTCCGGATCCTCGCAGGCACAGAGCCGGGGTTAGGCGAGGTGACTGAGTCTCTGGTTCTGACTCCACGCCCCAGGATTTCTAGCGCCCCCCTCCTGACTCCAACTTCATTATTTTCTTAATTCCTCTGCTTGGGCCCAACGGCATTGATTTTGGTTCCAAGCCAAGGGCCATCGCCACAGCGCCAGAAAAGAAGCCAGCCCAAGTAGCCCTCCACTGCCGGTTCGGAGTGGGTCTGGGAAGCCAGGTCACCGCCGGGAGTCAAGAAAGCACCCCCTGGGCGGAGGCGGGAAGACTGCCCTGGTGGTCTCCTGTGCCCAAATCCAAAGGGGCTGCTCTACCTCTCCACTCTACTCACAAGCCACTCAGCAAATAAAGGGACGTGAGTTCTTAACAAGCATCTTGTGAATTACATAATATGCAAATCCAAATGACTTGAAATTCATTGTCCACTTGAACAATGGTGACAAGGTCTGATCTGGGGAGGAGCTGAAGGAAATGAGAATCCTGGAGGGCAATCCTGGCTCCGTTGCTTGCCAAGTTTTCAGGGCTCTGGCAGTCCCCAGTTTCTCCAGAGCGACTGCGTCGGAGCCCAAGTCTCTAGGCTCGGTCCTGACTGAAATACAGTATCGCCCTGCTGTGGATCACTGGAGATTCTTGGAAGTTATCTAGCGCCTGTTTTTAAACGCAAATGTTAAAGGAACGGGGTCTCAATTGTCAGTCACTCATACCTCAGTGTGATTTACTCAGAGTAGCTGTCCATCTCCACCTTTAAAGTTAGTGGTTCTAAGGAAATTTATATTTAAACAGAAAAACTGCGAAACTGGAAGGGAATCAAAGGTTTTTGGAGTCGGATCCGAAGCTAGGAACATGCATAAAAGACTTGAAGAAGCTCTCGCTAGGAGGCCAGGAGCTGAAGGCGGCTAACAATTCCGAATCTCTCAGAAGCTGTGACAAGTGTACCCCTGGGACAGAAGGCCACCAAGGTTAAAGAAAGAAAACCCAGCTAAAAGCCCAAACAACTCTGCCCCTGCAGCTCGGCGCTGCCAGCTGCCGACCTAGGGGCGTGCTCTTCCACCCCGCGGCCCTAGGAACAACCAAGAGGAGCAGCAGGGAGACCCCGGGTATGCGGTGTCAGTTTTGGGGGGCGCAGTCCCTGGGATTATGGCACCTGAGGGGAGGTCTGGGCCCTCCCTAGTCCCCTCTGCTCCACGGAGGCCGGGGCTGCGGGACGCTTGCCCAGCTCAGAGGGGTTGGCAGATGCTCCTCGCTCAGGGTCGCGGGCGTCGCGCACGCCGCCGGGTTCTGCTTCTCCCGACGCCAAGCGTCTGTGGAGTGGAACTCTTGGCTGCTCCCCGCTGAGCGTGGCGGGCTCAGGAGAAGCGGGCTTTTCGCGACTCTGGGCGGGCGGGGCGCTCCTCTCCCTACAGGTTTGCTTTAATGATTTTCTTGAAAGAAAGAGACAGTTGTGAGCAAACAGGTTTGACAGGGACTGCTTTCCTCCACACCCCCCAGGGGATTTCTTTTTGTCTGCGCCTGACTTCAAAGTCAGTAATCGGCCCCTGTCAGCGGCGTGACAGGGAGGATTTGGGCTGTTCGTTAGGGCGAGTCTTGGCCGCGCACCCCAGCGGACTCTCGGCGGCCCGCGGGGCCAGGGAGGCGAAGCTGCAGCGGGCCCCTCGGGGCCAAGGCTGGGACTAGGTCTGAGGAGGGCAGACTGTCTACGAAGGAAGGAATCAAAGTGCACGGGGAAGAAACGGTCTGGGCCAGGTCTGCGGCTTCAGGGCCCATGACCCAGGCTGTACAACCCGCTCTCTGCAGGCTGGAGAGAGATTTCGGTCGCCCGGGGCGGGATCCCGCTCGCCTCTCGGTTTTGGCGCACCCCAGTTTCCCAGAGTTCTCCTTGGAGTTCCCAGGACCAGTGCGATCTACAACCCTTGTTTCAGTTTTTCAGTTTCTGCAACCAGCCCACGAGGTCTTCGCCTCTCAAACCCGCCTGGTGCCCCTTTCCAGCCTAACCTCACTTCGAAATCGGCTGAGCACCCTAGCGGGGAGGTGCGCGTGGGTTTCTCCTCGGGCTTGGGAGCTCTGTGAGCCTAGGGCGCTCCCGCGCTGGGCTCTGCGGGGAGACACTCAGACCCCCGTAAGCTTCCTTGTAGGAGATGTTAAGGGACACTGAGCTATGAGGGAGAGCAGAGAGGTTGACAGGACTGTCAGTTGAGGTTATATCAGACAGCAAAGCCTCGGCGACTCCATCCCCGACTTCCTGGGCATGCTAGGGGGCGGGAGGAGGGGCTTTCCCTCTGCACTCTGAGTCCCCAGACCCGACGGCCACCGGAGGCAAGTCACTTCCTAATTGTCTCGATTTGTAAGAAGGTTTTGTGATGCTAAATAAGCGTGGCTCAGCCTGCCCGGCCTCCCCCACACCTCCCCCAGCCAGCCTTTGTTTACCTTCCACTGATCGCTCATTTATTTATCTATCTATTATTTATAGGCGTCCCCTCCTATTCAGTGCCCGTGTATGTTAATTGTGTTATACCATTTAATTCTAACATCGGTCTCAAAAGAGCTCTTAATGAGAAAAGCATATACAACACAGATCACTTTGCTATTCAGCTCAGCCAGATGGACAACTGCTAACTTTTTTTTTTAATAATGAAAATCCCCCTTTGACAAAGGGGCTCGGATGAATAGGCTCCAAATAGCACCTCAAACACTTCTAATTGTTTTGTGGACGATATGCTAATCCTCGGGTTTTGGCTTTGGTGTCTGTTGACAGCAGTTTCCCAACCTCAAGTCACTGCCTCCTTTGGAAAAGGCAGAGGCAAGAGCACAGGCCCCTCAAAGACGGCAGAAACTGGACAGACCCTTAGGCTGCCCTCCCATTGAGAGCCAGTGGGAAAAGCTTGAAACCTACCAAAAACATAGATGGGTTTGAGGGGTGGGGAGGGAGTTGGAGGAGTTGAGGTGAGCAGCACTCTTCAATTTTGAGAGCAAATTCCAAGGAGTTGTGTTGGAAGGCATCAGAGGGTCTTTTCTCCTTTTGGAAAAGCAGTAATCTTCAAGCAAACATTCACCAAAAGGGGAAAGGAAAGGGCTTGTTTTCTTATTTGTTAAACACCAAAGGCTCCGAGTTATTTAATTATTGTGATTTAAAAAAAAACACCTTTTTGCCTGAGTTGTAACACTATCGCTTTTTTTTTTTTTCCCCTCTTTTCTCCCTCAGGGTTTTTAGTATGAAACCTCTTACAGTCTGGGACTGGGACCTCCGTCATGTTTTTCTGCATTTAGGTTTTCATGTTTAAATTTAGGAAACAGTATGAAGCCCCAGATCCCCAGAAGAGCCAGCAACAGTCTTCCCAAACACCTAAAAAATGAATATTAAAAATCAATTCTACCTGCCTTACCCCCTACTCTGAACTTAAACACCTACAGCAGGACACAGTGCTCTGCAGGCAACCGGTTCCCAGGAGTCTCACTTCTCCCCGAGGCTTTGGAGTTTGGTTTTTAAAAAAAGCAAACACACCCAGAACTCAGAGCTTGGGCCTGCCATTGTCTTAGTTCATCCACTCCTTGAAGTGGTCTGACCCCTTTGTGAAGAGTGAGAGGAAAAAGTGATGTCCCAGGGAGTGATAGCTTTGTTTAGCCTCTAAAGCAAAAAGCAGATTCTCAGGGTGCAATCCAGAATGATCTCAGACTCTAGGCCTTTACACACCCAGCTCAGGAGGCCACCAGTTTCAGCCCCCAGCCTTCTCTGCTAGAACCACTCAATGCACTCTCAGCCTCCTGGGGGGACTCCCAGCCCCATGGACCTGCTGGTTCTCCTAACTTGATTTTATGCACACCAAAGGTTACTTTTTGCAATGACAGATTGTCTTTATTCAAAATGTCTTTGTTCAACAAATGAACAGAGTAACGAGGTAAAATCCTTCTAGGTACATTTCCAAGACATCGTCAAAACATTTATGACCATTTAGGATGTTTTTATTGTTTTAATGTTTTTGTTCACTTTCTACTTCCTGACTTCATAACCCGACATTCTGTCTAAAAGTAAACTTAGGTCTCTAGGAGAACTGCTTTACACAAAGTAAATAACCATGTGGGTCCTTTTTTGTTTTCCTTTTAAAGAAGCAAACACTATCATAGCATGGTTTTAAATAGAAATGTTTCTTTCTGTAGTTTTAAACTTTCAAACCTTTCCCCACACACATACATAAAGAGCAAATGGTGCCTACTTGTGTCTGATGACAAAACACAGAGACACAGCTATTTCTTTTCTTCAGGGGGCAAAAGAAAAAAAATATGCATTTTCTAGATATAATGTAAGGATCTGGAGTTCCAAGTCCACAGCCTATCGGAGAAGAGTGAAGGGCACATAAATAAAGCAAAACTGCCTACTTTTTTGTCCAAAGGGGGTAAGTCAGAGATTTGTTTTGGGTGAGTTGGGACAGGGGCAGCTGTGTAGCTGTCATAGCATTTGCTCAAGTTTCTGTCACCTGTCTGCGCCTTGGGTCGGGGAGGAGTCCCTCCCTTCCCTGTGGAAGAGAGAGGCAGAGTCTGGGGTGGGGTATGGGACAGCAGCAGGGCTGACCCAGAGGCATCTGCAGGCCAGGGGTAGGCGCAGAAGACAGGGTGCAGACCCCACTTCCAGGACACCCTTCAGGTCCGGGCCAGGCTGTGGGTTACATGGCCGTGGCGTGGGCTGAAGAATAAGGGTCTATGCCAGTCTTGGTCATGCCTGGGAAGAGGATGTAGGCGACCGGGGGCTGCAGGGTGGAGGCAGACCAGGCGGTACAGTTACAGGGCACCACGTAGCCCGGGTTGGTTGGGGACGGGTGCGTGTGCGTGTGCTGGCTGGGGCAGCTGAGGCTGCCGAAGGCGCCGTTCTGGTAGCCCAGGGAGGACGCGTAGGGCAGCGCGCTGGTGGCCAAGGTGTGGGGCACTTCACCCATCTTCTGGATGGCACTCGAGCTAAACTGCGCGGGGTCCAGCAGGGAGTAGGGCGCCGAGGCCGGCGGCAAGAAGGCCCGAGCTTTCTCGGGCGCGCTCAGGAGGCCGTCGGAAGCCCCCACGGGCAGGCCGGCCGCCTTGAGCGGGTCCGTGTCGCCCAGGTAGGGCAGGGGGAAGACATACCTGTCCTTCTTGAGCAGGTTCTTGGGCTTGCGCCGGGGCCGGTACTTGTAGTCGGGGTGCTCCTTCATGTGCTGGGCGCGCAGTCTTTTGGCTTCGTCGATGTAGGGCCGCTTCTCTGCCTCAGATAGAAGCTTCCATTCGGCGCCAAGGCGTTTGCTGATCTCTGAGTTGTGCATCTTAGGGTTTTCCTGGGCCATCTTGCGCCGCTGGCCCCGGGACCATACCATGAAGGCATTCATGGGCCGCTTGATGTGGTCTGAGGGTTTGGACATGGTCCCGGCGGCTGGGCGGGCGGGAGTGGGGAGTGCAGGGGCTGTGGGCGAGTCTGAGCGAGGCTGGCCGTCTGTCTGTCTGTCTGTCTATCTGTGGGTCCTCAGCCGGAGCTCTGCGCTCCCCTCGCCTCGGCGCCGCTGAGGGGAAGCCAGAGAGAAGAGCTGACCCTGAAAAGTTCAGCTGATCATGCCCGTCCTAGCACCCAGGCGGCCCCGGGGAGCGAGCGGGGCGGGAAGGGCGGGGATAAGTGGGCGCTCGGCAGGCCGGGGGTCTGGGCACCAAGACTGGGGCCCAAGTACCAGAGTCTCGGGGATTAAGTGGCCAGGTAATTTTCTGACGTGGGCAAGTGGCTCCTCTTTCTCTCACTCCGCACCTTCGCCTTCTCTCGTTCCCTTCTCTCCTCTTGCGTCGGTGGCCGTGGCTGCCCCCCTCCCGTGGCTTTACCGGAGCTGCCTTGCTTACCCCTGCACCTGGCTGAGAATGCAGGGAGGCTGGTGAACAGGAGCCCAAAGCGGCGAAGTTCAAAGGCGAGGTGGGCCGGGACGACACGCACTCTGACATAAGCGCGGGGCGGTGACTCCCAACCTGGGCGCCAATCAGCGGCAGAGCAGGCGAGGGGGCGCACCTGCCGCCGCGCGCGGAGAGGAGCGGGAGCTGGTGGGGGCGGGGAGAGGTGCGAGGCCGAGGCCGAGGACGGCGCCGCGACAGACCTGGCTCAGGACTGCGGACGCGGGCTCCGCATTGTCTCCGGCACCGTCAAAAATTAAAAACTCTTCGTACCTTTCTGGGTTGTGCAAGAGAGAATTAGGGCATCGAATACAAACGGGGAGTGGCAGCAAAGGGAGCGAGGGGAGAGTTCATGTTGATAGATAGGACAGCCTCGCCCCAAATGCAAGGACAGGACTTTCCCTCTTGTCAAAGATCCTTGGAAGAGGAAAGGAATATGTCAAACTCAGGGTCAAAGGGAAATAAACTTTTTGGCACCAGGCCCTCCGCAGTCCATTGGCAGCGACCGTCCTGCAGCTCGGCCTCCACGGGACACGGAGCACAGGCGTAGCTCTGGGCACTCCGTGTCCAAATCGAGGGCTTCGGGCCAAAGCCGGGAGGCCTCGCGTCCGGCAGTGCAGAGATTTCGAATCCTGGCCGGTGAGCCCTTGAGATCACCACGACCCAGTCTTCACTCTTGCAGTGGGACTGTGTGTGCGCGCGCGCTTGCGCTTGAGCTTGTATTTCTGTAGTTCCATCATGGTTCTGATTTACGATATTATTAGTGGTGCTAGGTCCCCAACTTACCCCCACAACTGTCCAAACGGGGGGGGGGGGACTGAAGGCTGGGAGTGGCGGCCTTCTGATATCCCTACTGCCAAAGCCCTACAGCGGGGTTTCAGGCTGTACCCACATCCAGGGTGGAATTTTCCTATCCAGCCAGGCTGCAAGAGACTCCTTTCTTGAGTCAAATAAGCGTTTTTTTCGGAAAGAGGACGAAATAATCTGCAGAGCGAACCTTAGCCTGTTTCCTTTGAATAATTGCCTGCCCGGTGTGAAGTGCCCTTGGGGGAATATTTATTAAATGGAAACCATTGTCCCAGGCCCGGCAGACCTGCATGTGTTCCAGGCTTATTGGCTTTTGCACCAGCCTCTCTGGGGAGGACAGGCCAGAAACGCACAGTTTCTAGGCTCTGCGGAGCCAAGGGTGGGGGGTGGGTGGGTTGAGGTGAGGGAGGTAGGCAGGAGTAGGGAAACGGGAAGAGAGGTTCTTTCTTTAATGATGTACAATATCAAGCGCAAAGAAAAGACTTTGCTTCTCCCAGCATTTAAAAAGACACATGGAATTTCTCACTATTAGCCCACTCTTCATGGAGGTGGGCTCTATTTCCATTTTACAGGTTGGGAAACTGAGGCTGAGAAAAGATAAGTAAATTGGCAAAAATGACTGGTGGGAAGTGGTGACACCCACCCAGTATATAGGAAATGAAAACTTAGAATCCCTCCTCAATACACACACAACCTGGGACCATCTGATGATTGGTGCCACTCAGCTAACTGGAACCCTTAACTAGACTATTGGAGCCATGAAAATCTTCCATGCAGATAAACTGCACGAGAGAGCTTACTTTGCTCTTGATTCATTTAGGCTGGGTAGGGGACTTGGCTTGCTTGAGCATACACCTGGAGCAAAAGGCACCCCCTTGATGCAGGTGCAGCTTCTGGTGGACCATAGGTGCACTGCCTTTGCAGTCCTCACCCTGGCCTGCACCACTCCCCCTACACACATACCCTAACCTCGCGTCTGTGTGCTTCTACCCTTGTTTTTTTCTTCAAAACTTTTCATTTGGTTTGGGGTCCCAGGAAGCAAGATACACTTTTCAGCACAGCTGGAAGAGGATTTCCAAGCATCTGAGGCAACCCGTACTTAGTTCTGTCCAGCACTCGGGCCTGTCAGGGATGCGAGGTCCACTAGTCACACGGTTCTAATTTACCTGGTAATCCCAATGGCTTTGGGAAAGAAAGAAAAGTAGTCCGATCTACAGAGAGAATCCAATGAGGACTAGCCAATATCTGGCCCTGGATCCCTCAAGAGGAACCCCAAACCCACATTCAGGTTTAATGCAAACGATTTCTTGGCAATTGCTTAAGGAGGGGTCTCGCACAGGGTCTCAGACCCCTTTTCTCTCAGCCTTCAGACCAATCCATTCGGAGGCAGTTTCTGAGAGACACGTGACACCTTCAATTTCTGACATTTCCTTCTCCTCTCCAGCCCTCGCTCCTCTCCACACCTCTGGCGCTCAGCCCTAGGTCTCAATCCAAGAGCTATCCACAACCTGAGTTACCTACCATTTGGAGCGGTTTAATAACGGTGGACGCCAGGCCGGGAAGAGGAGTGTAGCAATTTGTGTACAGGAAGACACCTGACCTTCAGGGGTTTCAGGGCCCTAGGCTGCTTGGTCAGACTGCAGTGACCCAGGTGGGCCCCAGCATCTATCCCCGAGAATTGAACTCTGCTGTCAGGTTGAGAGTTCCAAGCCTGGAATCCGCTTGTCTCCTAGGAGAATCTCGCAGTCTTACGGACCACTTTCGCAATCTTGGGTAGCCTGGGGTTTATTGAGACACCTTAGCGTAATAGGGGGTGTGAGGGGGCGGAGTTCTCCTGATTCCGGGGTCTGGCCTGGTGCTGTTTCTAGCCCACCCCTTTTCTGCGCTGCTTTGTCCCTCCGAATTCTGGCAGACCTAGACCACCTGGCAGCACATCTCGGAGGAGAGGTGATCCCCGGTAGAAGCAGTAGTTTCGGGCACCGCCAGAACAAGCAGGACAGATGTCCTCTAAATGCTCCCAACCCCTCCTGCTTCGACCATAGCCTTAAGACCGGGCTTCAGGCTGCCACTCCGTTCTCCAGGGCTAAAGGTGTCTTTGGGATGAGGTCTGTCTTCCACGTTTGCTGGAGCATTCGTGCACACACTCAGGATGCGCTCCTTTACTCAGCGCAGTTAGAGCAGGCATGCAGCGCGCTGGCCTCACCCAGATCGGGGAACCGTCGCAGTTCTGGTAGAAGTGAATGAATGAGTCTCGGGGGTCAGGAACCTATCTGAGTCTCTTCCGCCTCCCCCTGACCTCCACAGTGCTCATCATCCCGGATGCTCCTCCCTTCCTCTTTTGGCTTAGGCCTTTGCAAGGAGCATTATCCTCAAGTATATCGCTGCCAGGGTGGGGGTGGGGGCTTCTTTGACTCCTGGACTGTGCTAGGCCTCCCCTGCTTCCTCCGCACACACTTCCGTTTCAAGACGCCTTCCCCAGGTCCTCGTGGACCCCTTGAGTGCCGCCAGACTTCAAGCTCCTCCTTGTGTGCTCTTCCACGTTCAGGTGCCCAGTGATCACACAACTCCTGAGAAGGAAGAAATTCAATAAAGTTTCCTCTTGCCCAGATCCCAGGTAAACTTTTGTGACAGGCGCCTTGTGGCTGCGGTGGTCTCCGGATGCAGCCAGGCAGAGCCCAGGGAGGAAATGTGTGTGTGTGTGTGTGTGTGTGTGTGTGTGTGTGTGTGTGTGTGTTGGGGGGCGCTTCGAGTCCTGCACCCACCCGCCTGGCTTCAAAGCTCTACTTTATCTTCCAGCCACCTTCGGCTCTGCTGAGTGGGCAGAAATAACTGCTCCGAAGTCCAGGGGACTAAGAAATGCCTGCGTGAGGAGAAGAAAGTGGCTTGGAGAATGCAATCGGTGGTGTCCTGAGAGAGTAGAGCTGGCCAACCACCTTGTGCTCCGAGGCTTTGGGGGAGTAACCAGAAGAGTCTCCAGCTTGCAGAGACAGAAATGCTAAGCTCACCTCAGCTCACTGTGGCCCCTCTAGGATTCCCAAAGAAGTGGAGAGGAGTTGCAGGTGCTGGTTCAGGGAAAACTTATGCACAGCACTGGCTCCAGCTTAATGCTGGAAGTATGCTTGCGGCAGGCTCATTCAGGTTTGAGTGAGGACAGCAGGAATCCAGTGCATTCCCCAGTGTCATGTTCACAATCCTGGAGCCACCGTTAGGGGTGACCTTGGGACATAATACGCTTTGGTCAAGTCATAAACTTATTTTTTCTTATTACTAAAAATGTTTTAAATATCTGGTACCCCGACTCCCCTTCCCCCATTTTCTATTTTAAAATTCAGAGACTTCATATATTCCATCTCTACAATGTGCCCAGAAGGACCCAGGGCCTTAATCTTATTAAGGAAGACATTTCTTGGTAATCACTCTGTTGTGGTATCTCCAGCCCACTCTAGCTATCTTGACATTTTTAAAACTTCTATGTGTTCCTTACAGTCAAGACAGTACAAGAAAGCATTGCTGCCACCGGGAAAAAAAACCCCAACAAAATCTTGTTCCAACACAGATGCCTGGAGTGCCTGTGATAGAACACTCAAGCTGGCAGAGCTACCTGGGCTGTGCTGGAGAATATTTCTGTTTCAGCACAGAATGCCCAAGTTAGGAGAATTTTTGATGCTTGAAACTGCTGTAAAATGATCGGTTTATGTTTGTAGATGAGATCATGTGCCTCACTCACTTGTTGTGATTCCAGTAGAGGATTGGATAACATCTTCGTACATCCACCAGGAAATGGGAGGGTGGGAGCTTTGACATCTTATTAATTTATTAACTCAACAGCTATTTATTGAGCACACTATGTGCCATGGATTGTGTTTAGATGCTGGGCCGCAGCAACGAAGAAGGCTATAGAGGTCCCTGTCCCAGGTGATTATTACAGTCCAATGGGAGGACAGACAATAAACAAGAAACAAATTCCAGATGTGATTCCTGCCTCCACCAACAAGTAGTTGTTAGATGTGTCATTTCATAGCAAGTATTTAATCTTTCTGTCTCCTGGTTTTCTACCCTGTAATGGAGCTATAATAGATTATTATCATGAGTAAATGATTTTATTTCTGAAAAACTCTTAGAAGTTTTTTTTTTAAAAAAAATAAATATCTGGAAAGATCCTCAGAAGATTGTGGCATGTAGAAACTGAATAGGGTTAGA